GCCACCAGCACGATGCCCTCGCGCATGGTGGACAATTTTGGCGTGCTCACAACCTTCGAGTACGACTGGTCCGCCACCACGGTGCGCAACAGCGAGCAGGCGGTCAAGGCTAACTCCATGGGCATCGGCAAGAACAAGGGGATCCCGTTCGGGGGCAAGGCGAAGGGCAAGGGCTCCCGCCTCCTCGACACCTGATCCGCCCTCCAGCGCCCCTCGGCGCTTTCACGGCCCTAGCTGCTTGCGACAGGCCTGAGGTGCAAAAAAAAAAACAGCTCGCGGAAGCAATCCACGTCCGAGCTGGGCTCAGGAGGCTAGGGAGTGGGCGGCCCACCGACCTCGTGAGGGTCAATGCAGCGAGTGCCCGCCGCCTCCAGAGCAACCGTCACCGCCTCCGAGCGAACGAGCGAGTAAGTCGAACCGAACTCACCGAACCAGGCGTCGCACACATGTTGGCGGATTGGTGACGGCCTACATCCACGTGTCTCTCGCGAGGTGATCAGGGCCTTCAAACTGGCAGGCGTGCGGGCCGTGCGTCCACACCTCCTGCACTTGTATGTCTGCTCCTCTGCACTATGAAGCAAATCATGGCTGGTGAGAGAAACCTTGGGAAGGGGCAGGGGGAGCCATGGAGCGAAGGGGAGCATCGGGGTCGAGCACGGTCCAACTGCGTGCCTCGAGCTTTCTCTGAGCGGCCCAGGCTATGAATTTGACCGTGTTTTTGTGACAGGCCAGCTCGCCCGCCACCGCTTGACGGAAACCGTCACGGAACGTGTGGGAGCGCGCCCCTAGCTTAGCGAAAACATCAGCCCAGCCGTTCCCCGCCCACGTTTTGACACACAAGCCCATAGACACCACGTCGTCCAGACCCAAGTGGGCGGTGCACCATCTGAAACGCGGGGGTTTAACCGCAGGGATCTTGAACACCGATTCCCATATGGCAGCATGTTTCGCCGTGCCTCTGGCCAACTCTGGGTCCCAGGAGTTCCCCTCACGCACAACATCCTGCAAGTCAGAAGCCAGGGTCTCATGGCCAGGGTGGTGGGCGACAGCCTGCCTGGCCGCCCAACGCTCAGCCCTGCCAGTCGTTTGCCTAGCTCCTGGGAGGGCCCCGTAGATGGCACGGCATGGCAACAAGCAACCAGATGCTTCTAACATTTGAAACACCGCCCAGCCAGCTCTGGCCACTTCTGGCAGGCTAGACTGGTAGCAGCTCCCGTCTACGAATGACTCAGATCCCCAATGCTCTCGGGGGCCTGAATGGGGACGCTTACAGTAGGGACACCATACGTGAGATAGTGCCTATCTACATCGGGATTGCCACACACATCTAAACTCGACTGGATCAGGGCTCTTCCATGGTCAGCTAGCTTCTCGGGGATCTCGTCGCCCATGGGGTCCAGGCCCTGGTCGTTAATGAAGGCGGGGCAACCATGCCATATATGACCGTATGTACCGTTAGCCTCGGGGCACATCAGACACTTGGGGGGGGGGGGGGGGGGGACCATGTACTTCAGATGCTTGAGCTCGCAGGGTAAGGGCACAACGTTGGACCACATCGCAGACGGGGCTCCTCCCTGGCGGGGGCACTTGAGTGCCTGCACGCCTTGTCGGAGCGCGCGGTGCCAAACCCGGTAGGCCGACGAAGCAGCCGTACTCATATGCCTCTGAAGCCGTGCGTGCTGCCAAGCTTGAATCCCCCCAAGAACCGCCAGCCTGACATCGTTCGGGCACGTCGTGATCAGGGAAATGTTCTGTCCCGTGTGGCTGTGGAGCGTTTGGGCAATGACCACCGTCCAACCTATGCGCAACAAGCTTAGCCAAACCGCAGACAGGGCCCCGAGCCTGCTGCCAAGCGGGGTTATCCATCATAGTGTCCCGCAACACCGACCAAGCTCTCTAAGCTCGCGCGGAGAAACGCGATCGCCCCATATGAAACATGAGTATTTGACCACCACCGCCAATGTACAATCGTAGATCGGGTCGCACAGCGGATTGGACTGCGTCCGCAGGTATGCGGCAACCCCTTCCGCGCTCTTTAGCTCCAGCAATGGTGGCAACAAAACGGCGAAGGTAGCGCAAGCTGGTGTCGGACACACCTGAAACAGAGGCTCCGTGGCCGCTGCAGGCAAAGCGCCCGTGCGCCACAGAGCCGTCACCCGTCTGCCCGTCGCAAGCCTGAGCGCCATGAATTTCCTCTTCCCCGCCGCCAGAGCACGGACTCGCTTTTTCTCTTGGGTGCGCATCACTCGCCCTGTGGCCAGCTCATGTCCAAGAGTTCGCATCCAGAGTTTGACTGGGAGCCCAAGCTGATCTGCAGCACGTCGAAACCACTTACGGGCTATTCCACCGCCAGCGATCAATCCCGATTTTTTGGCCTGCTTCCACAGGACTTGTACCCTGGAGTCATGAGTGACAACCTTAACGGCTTTAACGAGCTGGTCAATGTTCTTCGGATTGCCCGAGATAAGCTGAATCGAAACGCCGTCCACTAGGGCCCTCGGGGTGACACAGGGGGCGATGGCATTGAGTCTCTTCCGGGCCCTGAAATTCAACAAACAACAAAACTCTTGTCGCATGATTGTGCCCATCCAGGATACCTCGATGCGCACAGAAGTGTCGAGACCCGCTCCCGAAAGCGCGCAGACGCCGAGGTTGCTTGTGCAAGTCCATAAGCACCCGCGCAAGCCGCATCGGGAATCCCAGAGCTTCGGCCTCGGCCAATATCTGCTCCGATCGATTCATTCCGAAACACTTGATCATGTCTAGCAGCACTGATATCGAGATGTCGCCGACCAGTTTGGCAATCTCGGCGGCGAGGTTGTGAGCGAAAACACTGTCTGAGGAGCTGTGCCGACGACGAGTGCCCCGAACTTCCAGGCAGTTGCGCCGAGCTTGCCATTCAAACGCGAGGGGCTTGCGAACCTTGCCCGAAATTCGGCATAGAGTGGAGATGAGAGCAATGAGCCGAGTGCCTCCTTCTGGCTTGGCCAGGCGTACAAGCTCGCTGCGCACTCTGTCGGCTGGCCAAGCCAGAAACTGCTCGCATAACGTGAAAAGGCGAGCGATGACAGCGCGTGCAAGGTCGGGCAAATGGATCAGCGCACGGGGGTCTAGGCCACTGGGCCAATCGCCGCTCGCGCAGAATAATTCAAAACTGCGTCCTGCACCATGTCTGTTGCGATGGTGGGCAGCTCGGGCCCAGCCTCCGACCCGAGAGGGGTCTTGACCTTAGGACTGTCGTGCGTCGTCCACACATCAGCCCACGGTTTGAGCTCTTCGTCGGCTAGCTGGCACGGTGCAGGTCGCGCCGTGGACGAAACAATTTCTCGGGCGGCCTTCGCCTTCGAGAGTCTGCGCGCCTGGGAAGCACTTGCTTTCAACGAATCCCTGGCCCGAGAGACTCAAGCCTGAGACGAGCGATTCTCGGCGGCCGAAATCGCCGCTTTGGCCCCGGTGTAAGCCGAACACAAAACATCAGCACAGTCGGGGCGGGCCAGGACGGAGAATCCACTGGAGAAGAAATCGCGCGTGCGACAGCCAAGACAAGCCAGATTTTTGTTTGCACCGCGCAACGTTGGCCATGAACTGCGAAAACTCACGCAGTGACTGCAGCAACTTAGAATATTGCATGGGGGCTAGTGGGCAAGGGCTGTTGTGCTCTTGCAGGTGCTTTATCTCCGAACTTAAATATCAGCGCATCTTCCCGAGGTGTTGGGCCCATCCCAACGCAGCGGGCCAGGCGCGAGCCTCGGAGTCCTTATGCGTCCCCTTCTTGGCCAATGGGCCTCCTGAGGCCCAGCGCGGCCCACATAGGCCTCCGCGGAACTGCCGACGCGGTCCCACCTGGCCGCGGGCTCTCTTTCCACCCCTTCGAGGACCAACTCCCGAAACTCTGGGAGCTGCTTCGCAGAGCTGATCTGCGGGGCCACCACCTCCAGCGCAGCCCCCCACGGATAAACTGGAAACCTCGCACAGCCAATCGGGGGAACGGCTTGGGAGGTTTTAGGCAGCCTGGCAGCGCGTATCCACGCAGGGGCGTCCTGGGCCTGGGGCCGTAGCTGGACGGGGAGGCGCGGAAAAGGGGTAGCCTGCTCTTGGACCCAGACAGGGTTGGCGGCAAACCTTGGCGCTAGCCAACTGCTACATATCAGATGATATATCCTCGTGCCTGGGGCGATCTGGCGACAAGTCGTTGCGCTAGCAACGAGCGAGATGCCACTGATGGCGGCGAGCCAGTCAGATTGGTTCAGCACGTCCAGCTCCATGTTGAAATTGGCGCCGACCACCCACGCGATCTTCATGCCGTTGAGCACTGCGAGATATTCGATCAGCTGCCAGAGGATTGCGGAGTTCTGCGGCCCTAAGCCTTGGCCGTCCTTGACATACCCTGAAATGAAGACAACACCGCCTGGCAGGAACGAGTGAACGCGGGCAGCGGCAAGCCTGCCTGGGGCAATGTCGTGAGACTCGCCCAGGAGGTGAGGTGATCGTGATGTTGGCTCGCGTGAGTCCGTCCACACCTCCTGTTGTGCCTGGCCCGCCGTCTTCGTTGGGGATCGCACAACTCTAAAGCCCTCTCCAGCCAGTGTCATCCACCTGTGCGTGCCTTTCGCCGAGCTTGTCCGCCGCCACATGGTGCTCTTGCGCCATGACCACGTGCGCCTCCGACTCGGACAAGTAGTCGGTGAGCCGACCAAGAGACGACGAATTGAACGTGACCAGGTCGGAGAACTTGCCTTGGCGTTGCCTGGCGGTGCGTCCAGCACCACTGGTTGACCCAGCACAGGAGGTGGAGGAGGAGGAGGATGTGCCTGAGGAGGGGAACGGAAAGACCGATGGGGAAGCGGAGGAGGAGGAGGAGGAGGAGGAGGAGGAGGAGGAGGAGGAGGAGGAGTTATGAGGAGGAGGAGGAGAAGGAGGAGGAGGAGGAGGGGGAGGAGGAACAGGGGAGGAGGAGGACCAGTGTCTACCCAAGGCGCATCAGCGATGTCGTAGTGAAC